AGTGATGAACCATAGTCACTTCTTCCCGGAAGTTCAGCGGTAGAAGTTATGAGAGAAATATGCAAATTTTTATTTCCAAATAGCTCAGACATTTTTCGATTGAGAAACAGAGTGGAGATTTGTATTTAGAACGTCTAAGAACCCTCAAATACGAATTTTCATAGCAATCGAAAAATAAAACTTTTTTTCTTCGAAATTGAATCAAGGCTATAGCCTTAGTTTTTTGTAAAAAATGATCAAAAATTTTATATCCACTGATTTTAACGAGTGAGGTATCAAATGAAAGGGTATTCGGAGGAGAAGTGATAAACCATAGTCACTTCTTCCCGGAAGTTCAGCGGTAGAAGTTATGAGAGAAATATGCAAATTTTTATTTCCAAATAGCTCAGACATTTTTCGATTGAGAAACAGAGTGGAGATTTGTATTTAGAACGTCTAAGAACCCTCAAATACGAATTTTCATAGCAATCGAAAAATAAAACTTTTTTTCTTCGAAATTGAATCAAGGCTATAGCCTTAGTTTTTTGTAAAAAATGATCAAAAATTTTATATCCACTGATTTTAACGAGTGAGGTATCAAATGAAAGGGTATTCGGAGGAGAAGTGATAAACCATAGTCACTTCTTAACGGAAGTTCAGCGGTAGAAGTTATGAGAGAAATATGCAAATTTTTATTTCCAAATAGCTCAGACATTTTTCGATTGAGAAACAGAGTTGAGATTTGTATTTAGAACGTCTAAGAACCCTCAAATACGAATTTTCATAGCAATCGAAAAATAAAACTTTTTTTCTTCGAAATTGAATCAAGGCTATAGCCTTAGTTTTTTGTAAAAAATGATCAAAACTTTTATATTCACTGATTTTAACGAGTGAGGTATCAAATGAAAGGGTATTCGGAGGAGAAGTGATAAACCATAGTCACTTCTTCCCGGAAGTTCAGCGGTAGAAGTTATGAGAGAAATATGCAAATTTTTATTTCCAAATAGCTCAGACATTTTTCGATTGAGAAACAGAGTTGAGATTTGTATTTAGAACGTCTAAGAACCCTCAAATACGAATTTTCATAGCAATCGAAAAATAAAACTTTTTTTCTTCGAAATTGAATCAAGGCTATATATAGCCTTAGTTTTTTGTAAAAAATGATCAAAAATTTTATATCCACTGATTTTAACGAGTGAGGTATCAAATGAAAGGGTATTCGGAGGAGAAGTGATAAACCATAGTCACTTCTTAACGGAAGTTCAGCGGTAGAAGTTATGAGAGAAATATGCAAATTTTTATTTCCAAATAGCTCAGACATTTTTCGATTGAGAAACAGAGTTGAGATTTGTATTTAGAACGTCTATGAACCCTCAAATACGAATTTTCATAGCAATCGAAAAATAAAACTTTTTTTCTTCGAAATTGAATCAAGGCTATAGCCTTAGTTTTTTGTAAAAAATGATCAAAAGTTTTATATTCACTGATTTTAACGAGTGAGGTATCAAATGAAAGGGTATTCGGAGGAGAAGTGATAAACCATAGTCACTTCTTCCCGGAAGTTCAGCGGTAGAGGTTATGAGAGAAATATGCAAATTTTTATTTCCAAATAGCTCAGACATTTTTCGATTGAGAAACAGAGTGGAGATTTGTATTTAGAACGTCTAAGAACCCTCAAATACGAATTTTCATAGCAATCGAAAAATAAAACTTTTTTCTTCGAAATTGAATCAAGGCTATAGCCTTAGTTTTTTGTAAAAAATGATCAAAAATTTTATATCCACTGATTTTAACGAGTGAGGTATCAAATGAAAGGGTATTCGGAGGAGAAGTGATAAACCATAGTCACTTCTTCCCGGAAGTTCAGCGGTAGAAGTTATGAGAGAAATATGCAAATTTTTATTTCCAAATAGCTCAGACATTTTTCGATTGAGAAACAGAGTTGAGATTTGTATTTAGAACGTCTAAGAACCCTCAAATACGAATTTTCATAGCAATCGAAAAATAAAACTTTTTTTCTTCGAAATTGAATCAAGGCTATAGCCTTAGTTTTTTGTAAAAAATGATCAAAAGTTTTATATTCACTGATTTTAACGAGTGAGGTATCAAATGAAAGGGTATTCGAAAGAGAAGTGATAAACCATAGTCACTTCTTCCCGGAAGTTCAGCGGTAGAGGTTATGAGAGAAATATGCAAATTTTTATTTCCAAATAGCTCAGACATTTTTCGATTGAGAAACAGAGTGGAGATTTGTATTTAGAACGTCTAAGAACCCTCAAATACGAATTTTCATAGCAATCGAAAAATAAAACTTTTTTCCTTCGAAATTGAATCAAGGCTATAGCCTTAGTTTTTTGTAAAAAATGATCAAAAATTTTATATTCACTGATTTTAACGAGTGAGGTATCAAATGAAAGGGTATTCGGAGGAGAAGTGATAAACCATAGTCACTTCTTAACGGAAGTTCAGCGGTAGAAGTTATGAGAGAAATATGCAAATTTTTATTTCCAAATAGCTCAGACATTTTTCGATTGAGAAACAGAGTTGATATTTGTATTTAGAACGTCTAAGAACCCTCAAATACGAATTTTCATAGCAATCGAAAAATAAAACTTTTTTTCTTCGAAATTGAATCAAGGCTATAGCCTTAGTTTTTTGTAAAAAATGATCAAAAATTTTATATCCACTGATTTTAACGAGTGAGGTATCAAATGAAAGGGTATTCGGAGGAGAAGTGATTAACCATAATCACTTCTTCCCGGAAGTTCAGCGGTAGAAGTTATGGGAGAAATATGCAAATTTATATTTCCAAATAGCTCAGACATTTTTCGATTGAGAAACTATAGCCTTAGTTTTTTGTAAAAAATGATCAAAACTTTTATATTCACTGATTTTAACGAGTGAGGTATCAAATGAAAGGGTATTCGGAGGAGAAGTGATAAACCATAGTCACTTCTTCCCGGAAGTTCAGCGGTAGAAGTTATGAGAGAAATATGCAAATTTTTATTTCCAAATAGCTCAGACATTTTTCGATTGAGAAACAGAGTTGAGATTTGTATTTAGAACGTCTATGAACCCTCAAATACGAATTTTCATAGCAATCGAAAAATAAAACTTTTTTTCTTCGAAATTGAATCAAGGCTATTTTAGCGGTAGATGTTATGAGGTATTAGCGGTAGATGTTATGAGAGAAATATGCAAATTTATATTTCCAAATAGCTCAGACATTTTTCGATTGAGAAACAGAGTTGAGATTTGTATTTAGAACGTCTATGAACCCTCAAATACGAATTTTCATAGCAATCGAAAAATAAAACTTTTTTTCTTCGAAATTGAAGCAAGGCTATAGCCTTAGTTTTTTTTGTAAAAAATGATCAAAAATTTTATATCCACTGATTTTAACGAGTGAGGTATCAAATGAAAGGGTATTCGGAGGAGAAGTGATAAACCATAGTCACTTCTTCCCGGAAGTTCAGCGGTAGAAGTTATGAGAGAAATATGCAAATTTTTATTTCCAAATAGCTCAGACATTTTTCGATTGAGAAACAGAGTTGAGATTTGTATTTAGAACGTCTATGAACCCTCAAATACGAATTTTCATAGCAATCGAAAAATAAAACTTTTTTTCTTCGAAATTGAATCAAGGCTATCTATATAGCCTTAGTTTTTTGTAAAAAATGATCAAAAATTTTATATCCACTGATTTTAACGAGTGAGGTATCAAATGAAAGGGTATTCGGAGGAGAAGTGATAAACCATAGTCACTTCTTAACGGAAGTTCAGCGGTATAAGTTATGAGAGAAATATGCAAATTTTTATTTCCAAATAGCTCAGACATTTTTCGATTGAGAAACAGAGTTGATATTTGTATTTAGAACGTCTATGAACCCTCAAATACGAATTTTCATAGCAATCGAAAAATAAAACTTTTTTTCTTCGAAATTGAATCAAGGCTATAGCCTTAGTTTTTTGTAAAAAATGATCAAAAGTTTTATATTCACTGATTTTAACGAGTGAGGTATCAAATGAAAGGGTATTCGAAAGAGAAGTGATAAACCATAGTCACTTCTTCCCGGAAGTTCAGCGGTAGAGGTTATGAGAGAAATATGCAAATTTTTATTTCCAAATAGCTCAGACATTTTTCGATTGAGAAACAGAGTGGAGATTTGTATTTAGAACGTCTAAGAACCCTTAAATACGAATTTTCATAGCAATCGAAAAAAATAACTTTTTTCCTTCGAAATTGAAT